TCCAGCGGACTCCTAGCGCCCTTTCGTTCAAGTTACTGTCAAAGTCAAGGTCCTTGACGGGCGCAGCTCTTTCTGACTCAGGGATTGATTCTAGTACGGTTTTGTCATTCGAMATCCATTTGGTTAGTCGAAAACCTCCTCTAGAGAGAAGCTCGCGTAGTTGCGTAGCTAGTCGGATAGCTTCCTCACTGGTCGGCACGGACTTTAGACAATCGTCGACGTAGAAATTAGATAGAATTGTTTCTACTGTGATAGGGTCGAAGTCTTGCTCATTGTCCTTCGCGGTTTTCTTCAGAGCAAAATTTGCACAGCTTGGTGATGAGGTAGCTCCAAACAAATGTACCATCATTTGATAGTCTACTGGCGGACTATTCAGGTCACCATTTGGCCACCAGAGAAATCTAAGAGCGTTGCAGTCACTAGGACGTACCCTCACTTGATGGAACATCGCCTCGATGTCGGTCATTAGTGAAATCGGTTCTTGCCTAAAACGAGTTAATACTCCGACGAGAGAGTTTRTAAGGTCCGGCCCCTGTAACAGCTGATCGTTCAGTGAAGTTCCACGCCATTTCGCTGAGCAATCAAATACCACCCTTACCTTGTTAGGCTTTTGTGGGTGCTGCACGGAGTGGTGCGGTAGATACCAGATAGGGACGAGACTTTCGTCTGATGGAGTCACTTGTCTTGCGTAGTCCTTCACTATTAARTCATCAATGAAGGTTTTGTACTTGTCAAATGTATTGGAATCCCTCTGGAATTTTCCTTTCAGTATGTTTAAGCGACGTTCAGCCATGGATTTGTTGTCTTCAAGGTGAGGCGGAAATTGCTTCCACGGTAGGGCGATCTCGTAGTGATTATCCTTGTGTATTACTGTGCTTTCCATGATTGTAAGTGCCTTGTGATCGTTTTGCGACATCGCAACTTGGTCTTCGCTGGATGTATCCCTGAACTCTAGGTTACAATACCGTTCAAATTGCTTGGTTAATGAAYCTTCGGCGTCCAAACAGTTCGTGGTAAGCTCAGCATTTTGTTCATTTCTCTTCAATGGTCCATTTACAGACCATCCTARGAGAGTTCTGGTTGCRTAAGGACCTCCATTCTTCCCGCGTTTTATCTCGAGGGGTGCTAACGCTGACGGAACGTCGCTCCCGATTAACAGGCCTATTTCCGCATTTAATTTTGGCACGCTTATGTTGCGCAGATGTTGCCAAGAATCAATGTCGCTTTGCTTTGCCATGTCTTTAGTAGATACAGGAAGACTTTGCGTAGAAAGGACTCTCGGCAGCGTAACG